GGCTAGGGTTGTTCAATGCCCTAACGAGGAGCAGGTAGCAGCTGGAATGAGGGTGGCCAAGTATCTTGGCCAAACACCGACCGTTGGGCTGCAATACTCGGCGGCGGCGCAAAGGCGCCAAAAGGGCGCGGATGGTATTGAGCCCGGGCGTTTGTTCCTCACCGAATTCTCGTATGCTTCTTTTGCATCAGAACCAGAGGACATGACAAGTGTTGGAGGGTTCATTTGCTGTGTTGGTGGAGGCCCAACTGCTTGGGAGAGCAAGAAGCAGGTGGATCAAGCATTGAGCTCGGTGGAGTCCGAGTACATGGCACTCTTCCGTGCCGTACGGGAGATTGTGTGGCAGCGGCGTCTGTTGGCCGAATAAGGGGAGGAGCAGCAAGGACCTACCCCACTCTAGTGTGACAGCCAGGGTGCCATTGATCTTGCTAAGAACCCTGTGTTGCATGGCCTCACCAAGCACATGAGGGTGAAGTGGCATTGGACGAGGAGCATGGTGGCCGCGGGTGAATATAAGTTGCACTATGTGAAAACGACAAGGCAGCCAGCTGACATGATGACCAAGAGGCTGGTGGAGCAGCAGCATTGGAAGTGTTGCAAGCTGGCTGGGATGGCTCTGAACTGAGAGAGCAAGATCCTAAGGCCATCAATCCGAGGGGGAGTTTGTTGGTGCAACCCTACGGTTTGCATTCGGCTTGTTGTCCGTGTGCGTGCATGCGTGTATGCATGGAATGGTATGAGGGCATGAAATAATATATATATTTCATGCTTAGACTAGTGTGTGAATGATGAAGCATGATTTTGAATGTGTGTGTCGAGTCAATAGCGAGTTATCGCTAGTCGCATGTCACGTCGTCGTTTGCGTGTCGTGTGCGGTTTTCTATTTTGTCGTGTGTGGAACGTTCGGCGTGTCGCAGGTGCGCGCAGCAGACTTTCAAGAACTCAAGGAAGAATTTACCTTGAAGAACCTGAGCCTTGGTTTCAAGAATCAAGTGATTTCGAAGCTCTCCAAAAGGGTAAACTTTAAGATAGTGAGAATAGTTGCATTACTTTGTGTAGTGTAACATTTCTCTTGGTGTAGGCCCTTGTGGAGGGTAGTTTCGAGACCCTTCGTGGTTGGGGACAGTGTGGCAGTGTTCCACATCACTGTACCTTGGCTCTTGGGGATTGTATGAACTGGGAGTCATTCCCAACTCGTAACTCTTCCTAATTTGTGTTCTAAGACTATAGTGGCTGCCATAGTACCGTTCGTTCAAACCAACGCTGTGTCGTCAATTCTGAATGAAATCGTGCAATCTAAATTTCTTATTGTTGACGATGTTAAGACGCTCCAGATCCAAGTTGAATCAGATCATTTGAATCTTTGACCAGAACGCTATCAACGTTTGAAGCCGCTGTGCAGAAATCCGTCTGTGCACTCTATCTTTCGTTTTAGGCACATTCAAGCCTATTGTGACTATAACACCTTTGACATCTGTAAAACGACGTTAGTCTCGCGGGACTGAAGTTAAACTACTCCTTGACGTCGTGTGCGCTGGTTCTGGTTGCTGGCGACGGTGATCACGACTTCCGTGTTGAGGTGTTGTTCCCGTTGAACGAAGCGATTTGACGAGCACATGTGTTGTCTGCAGCAGCTGTCTAAGAACCAAGTGTCTTGACCGGACGGTTCGCTCTGTGCGATGGTTGCATACGTCGGATTTGGTTCTAGCGATTCGCGACGAGGCATGCTTTCGTCGAGCAATTCTTGTGGTGAGTAGGTCAGTGGTGAAGCAGTGATACAGGAGTCTGTTCTTGTCATGCAGCTTATGATGTTTCTTGTTTCTTGTGCAGATTGTGACGTTGTCGTTGAAGGCGCCGCCTGATTCGAAGGATGCTGCTGTGTGGAAGTTACTTGACTACTTGACGGTCGAAGCTGACGTGGTGGTGGTGTTGATTGTTGCTGATTCGGGCAGTGAATACGGGAGTGGCCGGACGTTTGGCAGAGGTGACAAAATGGCGGTAGTGTTCATTCGTGATGCTCGTTTTGTCGGTTGTTGTTGTTGTAGTGCCATTGAGTGTGAAAGGCGAACTCTAGTACTAATGCCCTTTTCTTGTGACGTTCTTCGTGCAGGTCCATGTCTTGTTGCTCGGCATGAATTTCGGCGCAGAGATTTGCTTCACAGATTCTTCCGTGGCTCGGAGAATGGCTCGAGTGGAGCGCCACTGAGGACCAAGACCTGTGATAACGACAGTTATGAACGCTTCTCCGGATATTGATCCGCCATATCGAAGGAGTCTATCGTGCAGACTGCGACAGCGACTGATATATGCCATTCCCTTTTCGTCGGGTTGCATTTGGACCATTGTTAATTGCGCCATGAGACGACTTTGATTAACGCTGTCGGTTGCTTGATACAGTTTCTTCAGGTGGTTTTACGCGAGCTCAGCGGAGTTACCATATCCGCGATAAGACCGGATGTTCTGCTGCTCGTTTGGTGTTATGTTTCGCAATGGTGTACGCCATTAGTGACTGATACGTGTACTTATGTTTGTCGTACTGCGTCCCGTGCGTTGGATATGGCAGGGAACCGTCGAAGAAGCCAAGGATTTGAGTGCCTTCCATCATCAGCTCGAACTCAAAGGACCAGGTATAGAAATCCTTGCCGTCGAATGGTGTTGTTGTTAGGTTTCAGGATGTGTGCAAACTGTGACTGCAGTTGAAGTGCGTCCAGAGTCTTTGTTTCTTGTCCAGGTGGGAGCCGATTCGGCGTGAAGCTGACAGAGTCGCGTTGAGGCTCGTACGGTGCGAAGGTAGGCTGCTAATTTCCACGCGCAAAGGATGAACCGTCAAGGCGCATGGGAGTGACTCCGTTGTTGTTGTCGCTGTTGCTTGACTGCGCAGGTGCTGCTTGTTGATGTTGCTCGTAGAACGACATGAAGGAGAAGAACTTCTCCATCATGCTTGGGTCGAAGCCGGTTGCTTGATTAGTGGGAAATTTTGTGGACTCAGCAGGGTCCTTGAACGGAGTTGTCTTTTGTCTTGCTAGCTCTCATACCATGTTGGGCTGAGAAAAGCCCTTAGGATCGTTTTCAAGACTCAAGTTTCATAGTAGTGATGTATTAGCGGAAGCGTAATAGTGAACTAATTGAACCACCTTGCACTGGTATGTGAGAACAAGATAAGTTAATAATAGCAAAGAGATACAAAGCTTTTATATGATTGCAAAGGAATGTGAAAGGTTTCACTTACTGTAACTGCTGTTGCGGTTCGATACAGCGACGACTCGGGTAACTGCTCAATAGTGAGTCAGTTATGTGTCCTTGTTGTCGCGCTGATTTTCAGCGAGTCAAGGTCGCTGACCTTTGACCTTCACTCAACCTCTTGTTGTTGTCTTTCTGTCAACCGCTTCGGTTGACTCGCTGTTGCTTCGCTTCAGTTTGCCTCGACACATCAGAAGCGCGAACTATATGTTTCCAACACCTTCCACGTCAGCCTCCTTCGGCCTTTCGTTGCTGCCACGACGGATATCGCCCCGCAAAACGCTGCCCCAACGGCATGACCTGTACTTGAACCGACGCTCGACCCGTTGAAAATTTTGGGGCATTGCGTTCGCCTTGACGCCTCAGGGCGCCACGTGGACTTCTTGATTCGCTGGACCGACCGCACCATTGAGGACGTCACTTGGGTGCCATCCACCTCGCTTGAAGCGCCTTTGCTACTGCGAGATTACCTCGCCCGAAAACGTGTCGCGAATGTTGACCACATTTCTTAAGGGGGGAGGGGTGGGGGGGGGGGGGAGGGGGGGTGGGGAGGTTGTGTAAGGAAAAACCCTTTTTCCTTACTAGGGTTTACTCAACCGCGTACAACCCCGACTTTCGGAAGTGCACATTCGGCCGGTTTACTTGCTCCCGAAGCAACCTCGCGTCGCCTTCGGCTTTCCTTTGCCCAACCTGCACCCAACCTCGTGTTCCCGAGGTTCCCGCCTAGCTAGGTTGACCCGCTATATAATCACGTGCCTTTCGTTATTCCGCGCAACTCCGTTTTACAACTCATAACATCTATGCACTCTCTTCCTTTTACAATTCATAAAATGGTGAATTATCGTGGCGTGCACAGCACGCAACACCTCTGCATCAGGGCTGTAGAAGCAAGGGCATTTGCCCTTAATGCCCTGAACATTCCGGCCTACATTTTGAGCAGCTCGACCATTTGAAGTGTTAGATCCGCATGGCACCCGAGATCGTTACCCGCCTCCCCCCCATACCCCCACTCCCCGATGATTTTTCCTATGGTGCTTTTGCCTACGGTGTAGAGGCTGTAGGTGTGTGGATGAGTAGTTAGTATGTACCTTTTTCCCGTTAAGAGAAAACATCCTCCTGTGTTACATCAGAAACAAGCACACTTTCCTAAGAAGCCCTGATTTCAAGTTTTTAATTTGGACTGCGCCCGTGAAAATCAGGGCCAGAATTCGAGCACCTCAGGACTCAAAGTTTTGGTTCCAGGGACTTTGACAGGCCTGCTCTGCATGCTCCCCTGCCGTGCGCCTTCAGCCCAATTCCGGGTCCCCCTCACGCCGCTCTCCCCGCT